ACAAAAAATGCTAATAAAATACTAAAAAATAGTAAACAAGGCTAACTTAAGGCATATGATAATGTATACAATAAATTGAGAACAAGAGAATGTAAAAAAGGTGTCTTCAAATTAGCAAAAATGAGAGACAAGAAGTGTAAGGATCCAGACCATATTAAATGCATTAAGAGTGAGGACCAGAGGGTCTTAGCAAAGAATGGCGAGGTCAATGAAAGATGGAGAGATTATTTTAAAAATTATTAAATGACAAACACAATGGGAACACCGTACTAGGAAGAACCTTTGGCTTAAATGAGGGAGGAGGTCATAGTAGATACATTCACATGATTAAGATATTTGAAGTGAAAGAAGCTTTGAGGAGGATGAAGATATGAAAGGCTTTAGGACCAGACAGTATCCTGATAGAGGTTTGGAAGTGCATGGAGGGATTGGTGTATGTTGGCCGAGCAAGCTATTCAGAAAGTTGGTGAGAACATAGAAAATAAAAATATCAAACGAATGGAGGGAAAATATTGTGGTGTCTATTTACAAGAACAAAGGAGACATATTGAATTGTGCGAACTATCGAGAGATCAAACTTATAAGTCACACTATGAAGCTGTGGGAGGGAGTGATTGGACAACAACTAAGGCATAGAAAGTGTACTATCAGAAAATCCATTTTGTTTTATGCCAGGGAGGTCAACAACTAAGGCCATTTTCCTCCTTAGGACCAGATGATATCTTGATAGAGGTTTGGAAGTGCATGGGGGAGATTGGCACATGCTAGCTGACCAAGCTGTTCAACAAGTTGGTGAGAACAAAGAAAATGCCAAAGGAATGGAGGAAAAGTATTGTGGTAACTATTTATAAGAACAAAGGCGACAAACAAACTTGTGCGAATTATCGAGAGATCAAACTTATAAATCACACTATGAAATTGTGGGAGAGAGTGAGTGAGCAACAACTAAGTCATAAAAAGAGTATATTGGAAAATCAACTTGGTTTTAAACCAGGGAGGTCAACAATTGAGGCCATTTTCTTATTTAGGCTACTGATTGAGTAAGTTCAAGGAGAAGGGAAAAGGCCTCCACATTGTCTTTATTAATTTAGAGATAGCTTACGATAGGGTACTCAGAGATTTAATTTGGGGGGTGTTGGAAAAGAAATGAGTTTTGGATGCTATATTGACACAATGAGAGATGTAAGAGGAAGCGCTAATGTGTGTGTGGACAACTAGTGGAGAGACAAGTGAGTTTTCAGTGAAAATATGTCTACGTCATCAGCATTGAGCCCATATCTCTTTGTTTTAGTTATGGATGAGTTGACTAGGCAAGTAGTATATGTTGTTCGCGGATGATATAGTTTTGATTGATAAGGCTAGAAGCGGCGTCAACACAAAGTTAAAATTTTAGAGGGATGTTTTAGAATCAAAAGGTTTTAAAATTAGCTTAACTAAGCAAAATTTATAGAATGCAATAATAGGAGTAGAAACGAGGAAGTAGTTATGATAGATGGCTAACAAATACCTAGAAGTGCGTATTTAGATACCTTGGGTTGGTAATCCAGGAAAATGAAGAGATTGAGGAAGATGTTGCACACATGTCGAGATGTGCATCTAGAGTTTTATGTGATCGCGGCATGCCAATGAAGTTGAAAGGGGAGTTCGATAGGACGACTTTGAGACCAGCTTTGCTTTGTTGGAATGAATTTTGGGCCTTCAAGTAACAACATACACATAGAATGAGTGTACTTGATGGAGGGCAAATATTTTCTTATTTTTAATTTTTTTTATTCCATTTCGAAGAATGTATATTATAATTTTAGTTTTAGACTTTTAGGGTTTATTTCTAGAGTATTTTAATTTTTTAAGAATTCTAGGGTTTTTATATTCTTTTGATGTATTTCATGAGTACAATTCATAAGTACTGTTCATGAGTATTGTTCATAAGGGTAAAACTGTCATTACAAATTTTAAGTTAAATTAGGATATATGGTCATTTTTTGTACTTGGAATGTTAAATTATAATGTATAAAAGGTGTGGGCCCTTGAGGGGTTATTCCACATGATTTTAAAAATAAAAAAAGAGAAAAACTTAGGCTTTTGGAACCCTAGCTTGGGTGTGGAGAAGAACCTCTAGTTTTTTTTTGAATTGTGCTTGTGTTCGACTTGTTTCTTGCTGATTTTACTGTTCCCTCAAATTCTCCTACATAAAATTGGTATCAGAGCCTGATGATTTGTATGGAGAGTACTGTAGCACGGTAGCGTAGGGTCGATTTTTGTGCCCTAAATAATAAACAAAGCCTAGATCCTCTACTTAAGGTTTGTGATTTCGGCGATCCTATGACGGCAAATAGGGGTTGTGCAAGGGGGGTTTCATAAATCCGCTCCATGACCTAGAGATGAGAAAATTGAGGAACTTGAAAGGCAAATTCAGCCACTGACACAACAATTCGTGAGCCTCAATAATGGGCAAGCAGCTGATTTTTCAGCTCAAGAGGATCTCGAGTACAAGATTTTTTGTTTTCGGGCTCCGCACAGGGAGTCGAGTTATGAGGATAGTTACAGAAGACCTAGATGTGGGGAACTTCATTCTAGGGTTTTTGATTTGAAGGATGAGATAATTGATTTTGACACAAATTTCATTGCAAATCAGCAAGTTGTAAATTAGAATTCACAGTTGATATGTGCTTAGATGAACAACAAGATCTTTTAGGAGATCCGATTTATGATAAAGATCACGATGATGGTGAAAATATTTTGGGAGAGGGTGAAGAATATGGAGAGAAGGCAACAAGACTAATCAAATCATACCTTTTGAAGATCTCATTAATATTAAAGAGATAGAGGGTGTTGGAATTACAGTAGCGCAAATGAAACGTGGTCAACTCATAAACTGCAAATGTAGTCTTGATTTCAAAAAAGAGAAAAGTTTAGGCTTTTGGAACCCTAGCTTGGGTTTAAAGAAGAAACCTAGGTTTCTTTGAATTGTGCTTGTGTTTGGCTTGTTTCTTGCTGATTTTATTAGTCCCTCAAATTTTCCTGCATCAGTAGCTGAAATGAGGATGTTGAGATGGATGAGTGGCAAGACAAGACAAGATAGAATTAGAAATGAATATATTAAAGGGAACTTAGATTTGACTTCAATAGGCAATAAGAAGAGGGAAAAGTAGACTTAGGTGTGTGGGCGGTGTGCAACGTAGACCCAATATAGTTCCGGGTAGGAGGTGCGGTTTGGTTCCAGTAGAAGCCTTTAAAAGGCGGGAAAGGCCCAAAGGGACATGGATGGAAGTAGCGAGAAAATATGTGAGGATTTATGGTTTTATTGAGATTATGGCCCTTGATAGAGCAAAATGACAAAACAAGATTCATGTAGCTGATCTCAAATAGTTGGGATAAGGCTTTGATGATAACGATGATGACGACGACGACGATGATGATATATGCTGAGGATTTTAAGCACCATCTGGTGAAAGATATTAAAGACATACCTTGAGATTTATCCTCGTATTGTTGCCATGAAGTCACATTATGTTGTTTTGGTTATTGGATAAACTGCATTATATATATCTGATAAGTAAAAGGTTATACTTTTTTTGATGGGATAGAAAATTTTAATGAACTCCATATTCCCTACATACTTTAAATTGGGGACTGGCATTTGAGTTCAATTTATCAGATCTTCAAATAAATGAAATTGAGAATTGGATAACTCATTAGAAATTTGGGGTTTTTCTTTTGCTGGAAAGCAGCAAAAGTCATACTGCCTTTTCCTGCTGTTTTGGAAAAGTTGGTATTCGTTTGATTTTTTCAGCTACAGAAAGTTGATATGGCTGACTTGACCTGATTTTGTTAAGAGTACCATGCACCCCAAGATTATAAATGAGTACCACATATGCAGACGGATATTTCCAATTTGGCTAATGTTCGTGGAGAATAACTGGGATAACTTATGGAACACACCAAGTGATTCTCTATTTGCATGAGTTCTACATACTCCATGCTTTGTGTTCTTATTTTATGTCCTTTATGCCTAAAATTCTTTAGGTGATATATCTTCCTTGCTTAGGAAGGATCCTTGTACCATGAGTCAGTCATCCGATGTCAATGAAGAAATTTCCTCTGTTACCTCAAGCTATGCAAATATGTCTTGACTCCTGGGTAACTTGGAACCCACTATCATGTCAATTTGTCCCCAATCTCCAAAAGGACCGAAACAATGAACATTTCACTCGGTAGTACTCCTGAACAAATCATAATATTCTTACAGTTGTTCAAAACAATGAAATCTCCCTTTTATGCTATGGGGAGCGACGATTGTCAAACTCAGAAGAGAAGGATGGGGTTTTAAGTGCCTTCTGAGTTTATGATCGTTACTGAAATCTTCCTTCACCCTCATAGCATATAAAATTTGCTCTTCAAGGCATAAAACAAAACTAGATGGACGTTCAAACTATATGTTTGATCTGCAACTTACATGACGGACAGTTAAGTATTGCACATATGGACATTGGCACTGTATGTTTGGCATGTGACTTACTTGAATGACAGTTCAGTGTTCGAGATATGGATTTGCGAACTGTACTTTGACATATAACTTGCATGAGCGATAGTGAGTGAAGTGTTGCGCACATCTCGGTAGCATCCCACAATGCAAAGATCTTATACATGGCTGTTACATTATTTCTATGTATATGCATAATATGCCATGCTTTTGAATGTTTTCTGATAGTGTGTTAGTAAATTGGTTTATGTCAATGCATTACCATCTTTAAAATTTGGTGGTTAGGACTCAAAAGCATTTTTTCCTTTTTTCTTTGGTATATCTGTGAATGCTTGCAGGGATGTTCCTTAGCTGATAACTAGTTTCGTTCATGCCAATGCCATGCCACTCTTAAAATTTTGAAGGTAGGGCTTAAATGCTTGAAGAGATGGTTACCTGACTGTTGCTCTTTGACAGTTGTGCTGCTGGGTCGTCATATCCTACCTTTTGGAGTTAACTGTGGACTTGGATTGAGCAGGTTCATTGAGTATATTGCTTGGAGCTTGAGAATTTGTGGGTTTTTGGTTGGTTGGAATCATAACAAAACGATGCAGGCCATTGAAAACTGTGAAGGACAACCAGTGGATCTTTTCAATGCTCCTGTGCAAGTTTTTGAGCTAACAGTTATGTCAGTTGCTGATAAACTCACCCTAAAGAAAAAATTGGAAATGGAGCTTTCTCAGGTGCGAGTTGCAGTTGAAAACCTTAAATCAAAGAGCAGGAAAAACATAGATGAAATTTGTCCAACTGTCACAGACGACGATGCAATGGTCTTGGGAAATGACCATTCTGGTAAGGATCAAGTTAGTGGAGTCCATTCTAAGCATGGATTTCACAGGCAGTTGTCTGTAGCTAGCCAAAATAGTCAAACCGCTCATAGCAAGGAAAAGCGTAAACCTGAGATCACCAAACTCTGCAACAGCTCTGAGTTTGTGCCTAGAGATGTGGGAGTGTTGGTTAATAAGCGATCTGAGGTAGCTAAAGTTGCAGATAAAAAACGTGCCTTACCTGAAAGGATTGAACCCCCCCAAGACAGAAAAACGCCAAGAATATTTAGTGATAGGATGAGAGACTCTGCCATTCTTCTAAAGAAGCTAATGCTTCATCCAGATGCATGGGTGTTCAACCAGCCTGTAGACCCAGTAAAATTGATAATTCCTGATTATTTTGAAGTTGTAAAGAAGCCCATGGATCTTGGTACAGTAAGATCTAAGCTAGAAAGGAAATTGTACTTAAGCACCCAGGATTTTGCTGCTGATGTGAGGCTAACATTTTCCAATGCTATGCTTTATAATCCTCACAACAATGATGTTCATCTTATGGCCAAGGATCTTAACACCTTATTTAATAAGAGATGGAGGTCTTTGGAGGAGAAGTGGAAAAAGGATGGTTCAGGCAGTGTGCTGAAGCCAAGCAATCCCAAGACAGTTAGTCAGAAGAGACCTGCTGCCTCTTGTGTGAGCTCGGCTCCTAGGAAGTCTATGACACTTGCCAGACCTGTGAAGGTAATGGAGAATTTTTTTGTTGATAATTTGCTCCTGCATGCACTATTATCTTTTTTTCTTTTAATAGAGGAAAAAATTGCAGAATGAAATGAAAAGACATAAACAACTGAGAAATAGTGTGACGATTCAGTAGTAGTATATGGAAAGAGTTTAAATTTTTTAAAAGAATTGAATTAACAATGACATATAGTCATGAATTCTAGGCACATCGTTAGAGGATGATTTTCTCATATTTTGGCAGAGTTAAAAAATGTAAAATATGTAAAATAGGAAACAAAAAATGTAAAATAGGCAATACAATGCATTATTCTTATGTTCTCCTACACTATAGTCAAGTTTCCTCGAAAGAGAAAAGGAGAAAACAGACACACAAAAAAGAGCATCATATGTGTTGGCACTTTGAAATCAATGGGGCCTTCGGGGTCTTCAGAAGAAAGGTTGTTTGCTATATTTTATGCCAAGTAGCTATGGAAAACAATTTTTTGGAGATTGCATGTAGCGATTGAGGCAACTTGATCTGTATTGTATATATTAAATGAAGCTAGAATAGGATAAAAAGAGCAGAGAAAGAAAATTATGATCCACATGCACACATGAATATCTGGGCATCAGGGTTGTCCCTGTCCAATCATTGGTTAGGATGGTTTTTAGAGTGGGACCTCATCCAAGGAATGTCGTGTTCTGGTGCATCCCACACTCCCCCTGACACTGTCCAACCCACTGATTTTGTGTTGTATATATATATATATATATATATATATATATATATTATATATATGTACACGTACACTAGTATTACGTTACTTACTTACGTAACGTACGTACGTACTAAATTTAATTAAGGTAAGTTA